GCTCTTCACAAGACCTCCTGCTTTCCAGCTCCGTCATCAACTCCTCCCATGCTCGCCTCCAGGACTTCACTAGAGTGTCTCCCTTTCTATGGAACTCTCTACCCCAACCTGTCCGTCTATCTCCCACACTGACTGCCTTTAGGCGATCCCTTAAGACTCATCTCTTCAGGGAAGCCTATCCCACCTCAACCTAACCACTGAACAATCACGTTCTCAAACTATCATCCCCACACAGCTACCTGCTCATGTATCACTTGCCCCTCCCTTTTAGATTGTAAGCCCTCAGGGGCGGGGCCCTCCTTACCATCTTGTCTTAAATTGTATTGTGACTGTAATGTCTTCCTTGTATTGTAAAGCGCTGTGCAAACTATTGGCGCTATATAAATCCCGTATAATAATAATAATAAAGACAGGCAGAGGGTGCAGGTAATTGAGGTCTAAGGAGGAGCAGCACGGTGAGGAGAAGCCGGTGGAGAGATCTTTTGATCTTTGATGGAAAGTGTCCTAGGTGTATAATCCCCATTTCTTGCCCTGGGGTGCTAGTGGGGGAGCATCTAGTAGACTGAAAAGGTCCAGCTTTCCTTAGTAATTGATGTGAAAGGAGGAGAGAGAGATGGGGGGGGGGTCTCTGATATAAAGGGGGGCTCCTTATTTGAAGGGGTCATTTGATGTGAAGGGGAACCACACACTTTTGTGTTTTGTTTGCCCCCCGAATTCTCTTACATTATAGTCTGGGGTAACTGGGAGTTTCTGCACTTGTACACGTTGCCATGGCTGGGAAAGGTGGAGTAGCGCCAGCTTAGACCGCGGCGTTCCGGTCGGGTCGGTTTGGCTGCCACAATCAGTAGGGAGTGACAGATCCCGACGTGCCGCCTCTCCGATGTCTCCCTTCGGGAACGGACGCGTGCCTTGCGATTCCGAGAAACTTGGCACCCGATAGGAACACACACGGCTCGCCCTCGACCAATCACATCCCTCCGCCGAGACACACACCCTCGTGACTCACTCATTGTCATTCCGGTTTTCCTTCACGGACATTGTTTTCTTCTTCTGGAACATCGACAACGATCCGAAAAACAAACTCTGGAAGGTCAAATCCTACAAGTCAATATTGACCCGGCGAGCAAGACGCGGAGCCGCCGCGAGGAAGGGCGCCATCAATGATATCACAAACATGTTTATACCGTACGACCGTCCAGGACTCCACGCGTCATCAGAGTTCAGGAAGAATGACATATTGCAACATTGTAATCAGAGCCGAACTCCGGACAATCCCTCCCGGGGACAACCACTTACAAAGCCGTCCACAGCTCCGCCCCCGTCTATATCTCCGCCCCCGTCTATATCTCCAACCTTGTCTCAAAGTATCACCCTAAACGTCCCCTCCGCTCATCCCAAGACCTCCGGCTTTCCAGCTCCCTCGTCAACTCCTCCCCCATGCTCGCCTCCAGGACTTCACACGTCATCAGAGTTCAGGAACAATGACATATTGCAACATTGTAATCAGAGCAGAACTCCGGACAATCCCTCCCACGGAGGGTCAAACTTTATTGAGATTCAGAATATTAACAATCACTTACAAAGCCGTCCACAGCTCCGCCCCCGTCTATATCTCCAACCTCGTCTCAAAGTATCACCCTAACCGTCCCCTCCGCTCTTCACAAGACCTTCTGCTTTCCAGCTCCCTCGTCAACTCCTCCCATGCCCGCCTCCAGGACTTCTGTTGAGTCTCCCCCATCCTCTGGAACTCTTTACCCCAACCTGTCCGTCTGTCTCCCACCTTGACTGCCTTTAAGCGACGCCTTAAACCTCCCTGGCGGTATTCCCGAGTGTGGCTCGGGGGGTTAAACACGGGAAATAACGCGTTTTACTTGTTCAAACTGAGAATACTCCGCACCGCAGAACTTCTCTCTATAGAGGACTACAAATCCCAGCAATACATTATACAACAATGCAAAATAATATGAAGCTACATACTCTGTGGCGCTCTGATGTCTCAGGTGACCTGTGTGGGCTCTCACTAGGGGTGTGCGGGTTCTCAGGTGGACTATGCAGTCTTTGTCAAGACAGCCAGGAGAGAGAGGAGAGACAGCCAGGAGAGAGAGGAGAGACAGCCAGGAGAGAGAGGAGAGACAGCCAGGAGAGAGAAGTATGTAGCGTCATTCACAGCAATAGGACCGCTCGACTCTCTGATCACAAACATACAAACGCACTCTGCCCAAAACATTCCATATTAACCCCTTCATGACTGAGGCCTTTTTTGTTCTCTCCATTTTTTGCCCCCGTGTTATATTCCACATTTTAGGCCTGAAAATTACTTCAACCCGCCACCCCAAGGACATGATATATTTACTGAAAGCCGAGACCCCGTAGAATAAAATGGCGGCGGTTGCAGATTCTTATGTTGCACGATATTAGCGCAACTCCTTATCAAACTCCCAAAATTTAGAGAACAATGTACTTAAATGCCCCAAAACACAAATAAAATACCCATATTTAAAATAAAATATAAAAGACGAGGTGACAACGAGTAAATAGATACCCGACATGCCCGGGTTAAAAAGTGCACGCGTCCGTGAAACGGCGACAAAACGCAGTACCCCAAAAAATCCACGGCGGGGGTTGACCCCTTCACCGGGCCGTAGAAGCGATCTGGCGACAGCTGAGTCACCAGAATCGCTTCTACTGTAAAGCCGCCGGGAGT